TTTCATGTCTGCATTCTGTGTTCTGATCCATAGGTCTGTGTCTGTGTTTTAGTGCCAGGACCATGCTGTTTTGGTTACTGTGGCCTTGTAGAATAGCTTGAAGTCTGATAGAGTGACGTCTCCTTCTTTATTCTCAGAACATACACTTGCCTTCACTGTTCAGGGTCTTTTCTGGTTCCACACAAAGCATAGAATTATTTTTTCTAGTTCTACAAAAATAACACTGGTATTTTAATGGGAATTGCATTGAACCTGTAAATCACTTTGGGTAGTGTAGCCATTTTTATACTGTGAAGGTTGTATTTTTCCAGCTGTTTACATCCTCTGCAGTTCCTTTCTTTAGAGTTTCATAATTCTCCCGATAGATGTCTCTCACCTCTTTTGTTAAGTACGTTCCTAGATATTTGATATTCTTTGTTGTCACTGTCTTTTGATTCTCACCTTGACTATTGTTGATGTATATGAAAGCTACTGATTTGTGTACATTTTGTAGCCTGAGACATTACTGAATTTATCCAGTTGCTTTTAGGCAGTATTTCAGCCAACCTCCCATTCCCACCATCTCCACCCCGCTCTCTGTAGCATCTAGTGCCTGTGGGCACTGAACTGCCTGCCCTGCGGGCTTGCTGCTTATCAACAGCGCCTCTCTGCAGAATCAGCTATTCCTCCTCCATTAATTTTCTGTCCTGTTTTGTGACTCAGGTTATAGATAGCCGCCATTGAAGATCAAGTTTGTGTCCTGGCAGAGTGACTCACACCTGTAATCCCAGCACTCTGGGAGGCCAAGGCAGAAGGATCCCTTGAGCTCAGGAGTTGAGACCAGCCTGAGCAAGAGTGAGACCCCCATCTCTAAAAAATAGCCGGGTGTTGTGGCGGGCACCTATAGTCCCAGTTCCTCAGGAGGTGAGGTATTCTACCCAGGGTGACAGAGTGAGAGACTGTCTCAGAAAAATGAAGTTAATGGTATTATTTCTTATTTTTTCTTGTTGTTTTGATCTGACTTATGAAGTGATAGGGCCAAAAGATTTTTAGCAAGCCATTTTTCAGCCCTAATTTTCCAAGTAATTGTTTCTTTTATAATTAAAAACAATCAAAAAGCTGTTCTCTTGTTCAGGAGAAATCAGAAGATTTCATTAAGAAATTGGGGGGGGGGGGCTCAGCGCCTGTGGCTCAAGCGTCTAAGGCGCCAGCCACATACACCTAAGGTGGCGGGTTCAAATCCCCAGCCCAGGCCCACCAAACAACAATAATGGCTGCAACCAAAAAATGGTCAGGCGTTGTGGCGGGCGCCTGTAGTCCCAGCTGCTTGGGAGGCTGAAGCAGGAGACTCGCTTGAGCCCAGGAGTTGGAGATTGCTGTGAGCATGATGCCATGGCACTCTACCCAGGGGCGTAGCTTGAGGCTCCGTCTCAAAAAAAAAAAAAAAAAAAGAAATTTGGGGGGAAAAATTGGGGGGCAGAGCAGGAGGAGGGCAAGTGGAGGGAGGGTATTTGGCAGGATCTCACATAATGTACACGGAGCAAGGGTACATTTCAAAACAACTAAGTATATTATAAATGTCTTACCATAAAATAAGTGAGGTGATGGTTATGTTAATTTGATTTAAACATTCCACATTATATAGCAAATCATCACAGTGTACCCCATAAATGTATACAGATGTGATTTAATAAAAATTAAGAGTTAAAAAGGAGGGCAGGGCCTTTGGCTCAAAAGGGTATGACACCATATGCCAGAGGTGGTGGGTTCAAACCCAGCCCTGACCAAAAACTAAAAAAAAAAAAAAAAGAGTCAAAAAGGAAAGAAATTTTAGAACTGGCCAGCCCAGTGGCTCACATCTGTAATCCTAGTATTGTGCAAGGCTGAGCCAGGAAGATCCCTTGACCTCAGGAGTTCAGGACAAGCCTGAAAATAGAAAAATTAGTCTGGTGTCATGGCAGGCGTCTGTAGTCCCAGCTACTCAGGAGGCTGAGGCAGAAGGATCTCTTGAGCCTAGGAGTTAGAGGTTGCTGTGAGCTAGGCTGATGCCTCGGCACATTATCCTGGGGCAATAGAGTGAGACTGTCTCAAAAATAAATAAATAATAGAAATTTAGGAATTAGGCTCGGCGCCTATAGCTCAACCGGCTAAGGCGCCAGCCACGTACACCTAAGGTGGCGGGTTCGAATCCCCAGCCCGGACCCGCCAAACAACAATGACAGCTGCAACCAAAAAATGGCCGGGTGTTGTGGCGGGCGCCTGTGGTCCCAGCTACTTGGGAGGCGGAGGCAGGAGACTCGCTTGAGCCCAGGAGTTGGAGGTTGCTGTGAGCTGTGATGCCATGGCACTCTACCCAGGGGGACAGCTTGAGGCTCTGTCTCAAAAAAAAAAAAAAAAGAAATTTAGGAATTAAAGAAAACAGTTATGACTAAGGAAGCATTAGATTTACTGAAAGATTTTATAAGGAGGTGTGGTTGTTTTTGAAGATAGTGAAAAGTTTGAGACAATGAGATTGAAGCTGGGTCCTGGTAAAGGTGGAAATGTCATCAAGAACAGAAGTAGAAGGCCAGGTGTGGCAGCTCACACCTGTAATCCCGGCACTGTGGGAGGCCAAGGCAGGTGGATTGCCTGAGCTCAGAGGTTTAAGACCAGCTTGAGCCAGAGCAAGACCCCGTCTCTAAAAACAGCTGTGTGTTGTGGTAGGCGCCTTGTAGTCCCAGCAACTTGGGAGGCTGAGGCAAGAGAATCGCCTGAGCTCAAGTTGGAGGTTGCTATGAATTACGACGCCACGGCACTCTACCAAGGATGACAAAGTGAGACTCTGTCTCAAAGGAAAAAAAAAAAAACAGAGGTAGAAAGCTTAGTTCTGATAAGGAAGTGGAAAAAGAAACAGTACAATTTAGAAGTAGCAAGGAGGCAATATTGGGGAGCTCACCCTCAGTGGAATAAAGTTGTTCATGCAGCTAATAAACTGCTCCCTTGATATTTACTTACCAAATAAAAGCACCGGGTGCTTTAAACCTTAATCAATGACTCTTTATATTTTTTAGCCTACCTTCTTGCTTCTACTTATTTTTGTTCAGTGAAATTTAGTCAACAAACAGGGAAAACATACTGTTGAATATAATTTTGGCTGTACTGAGTAATGATGTTTCTTTTAAAATTAGATAAATATTTTTCCCTAAGAATTTTAAACAGTGTATACCAGTGAGCTCAATAAATCAAAATACAGTTGTCCCTTGACATCCTCAGGCAGTTGATTCCAGGACCTGTGCAGGTGACAAAGTCTGCAGATGCTCAAGTCTCTTATGTAAAATGGAGCAGTGTTTGCACATAACCCACGTATGTGCTCCCATGTACTTTAAGTCACCTCATCAAACCAGGTGTGGTAGCATTGCCTATAATCCCAGCTACTTGGGAGGCTGAGGCAGGAGGATCCCTTCAGCCCAGTTCAGTACCAGCCTGAGCAATAGCAAGACCCTATCTCAGAAAAAAAATTCATCTCTGGATTACTTATCATATCTAATACAATGTGAATGTTATATAAATAATTGTTAGACTATATTGGATTTTATCTATTTTTTTCTTATTGGAGGGGTTTCTTGAATGTTTTCTGAGGTTGGTCAGATCCACAGTGGGTAACCCACAGGGCCAATTTTAATAAGTACAGTCAGTATTTAGAAATGGAGAACTGTGTGTGTCAAGTCTTTATCATTAGTTCACAGTTTTAAGCACTTGTCAACCATTTGCCAATATAAATGGGTTTTTTTTAATCCTGCTACTTTGAAAATAGATTCAGACGTGTGTAGGCATTTACTGGACTGTTGGGATCTTTAATATTCCTCTAACATCAGAAGTTTAATCACACTGTTCACTGGGACTGATTTTTTTTTTTTTTGGTCACAAAATTCAGCTTTCATCTGTGATTATAAATCTACTCTCCCCAATCTCAATTTAAATTTTATCTATGATAATCATAATTCCATCTATGAGTAATTATTACTACCATCAGTCTCTGTGGTAAACTCCATCTGTGAGTAATTATTAGCACCATCAGTCTCTGAGGAACTCTGTGTTTCTCACTGTGAATGGCAGTGGAGCTTGCCAGCTTCCCAGGAAAGTGTTGCCCTGCAGAAACTTACCTGCTGTTTTCAAAGCATCAGGAACAGAAGGGAGAATCTCTCCAGAGCTGTCAACTTGGCTTTTCATGTGTGAAATTCTTTTAATTGTCAGAGTGGGGACAGAAAGAAATCAAAATACTTTGCCCCAAAATACATTTCTTTCACGTTTTGAGAGAGACATCAGACAGAAGCAACCCTGAAAGCTGTCTTTTGTAGGAGAGATTCACATCTCGAGGGAAAATATGCACTGGTGGGACCAGGCTTCTGAGGCTTTAGCTTGTCTAGCTCTAGGAAAGGTTAAATGAAGACACCTTTATTAGGTTCTGAAGGAAACATTCTCCATCTGTTCTCTGTGAGGGTTCATCTATATGACAAGACCCCTTCTCTAGCCAAGCCGCCTCCTCTCTCTCCCACAACCTGTCTTAGCACCATAACCTGACTTACCACCATAACTTGTTTTTAGCCATGTTCTGGGCCTTCATTCTTTCTGTAACCTCAAGATAGTATATAAGTTTTTGAACCCCATTGGAGGGTTGGAATAATCACACTGGTTTTCTCCTGTGTGCACGTTAGTAAATATGTCTTTTTTTCCACTTTAAAAAGAAAAGGAATGCAAGTGAGTATATGTATAAGATGCCAAATCTTTATCCAATTTTGTACATGACATTTTCTGAAAACTGCCTAGACTGATAGTGGAGCAGACCAGTTATTGCAGTAAATTGACAAAACTACACTGGGAGTACTTGCTCAGCATTTCTGCTGTTTGGTGGTGATTGTTAACAACTTAAAATTGTTCATATTCTAATCTAGGAAAGTAAATAAAAGTAAATTAAAAAAAAAAAACGTGTAGTAACCATACCAGGTGGATGACAAATGGCTAATGACTTTTTTTCCCCTTAGATAACATCCAGAAAATGCCCAGAAGAAACTTCCTGCTGGAAAAACTGAAAAAGACGTATTTGTAACACTGGAATTTATGGATAATTTGTCAAAATGGCAGAAAGTAATGAAAATTATAGTAAAAATGTAGATGTCAAGCCCAAAACCAGTCGGAGTAGAAGTGCTGACCGAAAGGATGGCTATGTGTGGAGTGGGAAAACGTTGTCTTGGTCAAAAAAGAGAGAGAGCTGCCCAGGTGCTGAGACGGTGAGCGCAGTGGAAAAAGCGGAAGTTTCATTAAGGAGCCAAGAAAGGAAGCACAGCTGTTCATCCCTCGGGTTGGATCTAGATCATTCCTGTGGGCACAGATTTTTAGGCCGCTCTCTTAAACAGAAACTGCAAGATGCTGTGGGGCAGTGTTTTCCCATTAAGAACTGTAGTGGTCGGCACTCTGCAGGGCTTCCCTCTAAAAGGAAAATTCATATCAGTGAACTCATGTTAGATAAGTGTCCTTTCCCACCTCGATCGGATTTAGCCTTCAGGTGGCATTTTATTAAACGACACACTGCTCCTATAAATCCCAAACCAGACGAATGGGTAGTAAGCACAGACGTGTCTCAGAGCCGACTGAGCGGTGGGGAGCTAACACCCAGAGGAGACACGGACGAGGACGCAGACTGTTTCTCGCAGACCAGCGTTCAGCCCTGTGTGGCAGCCCCCAACACTGCCCCATGTGGGGGTCCCCCGCCTGGCGCTGTGATGAACCTGGTTTCAAATAACAGTGTAGAAGACAGTGATATGGATTCAGATGATGAAATCATAACACTTTGCACAAGTTCCAGGAAAAGAAACAAACCCAAATGGGAACTAGATGATGAAATCCTGCAGTTGGAAACACCTCCTAAGTACCACACCCAGATTGATTACGTCCACTGTCTTGTTCCAGACCTCCTTCAGATCAATAACAATCCCTGTTACTGGGGAGTTATGGATAAATACGCCGCTGAAGCACTGCTGGAAGGAAAACCAGAGGGCACCTTTTTACTGAGAGACTCAGCACAGGAAGACTATCTGTTCTCCGTTAGTTTTAGACGCTATAGTCGTTCCCTTCATGCTAGAATTGAACAGTGGAATCACAACTTTAGCTTTGATGCACACGATCCTTGTGTCTTTCATTCTCCTGATATTACTGGGCTCCTAGAACATTATAAGGACCCAAGCGCCTGTATGTTCTTTGAGCCACTTCTGTCTACCCCATTAATCCGGACTTTCCCCTTTTCCCTGCAGCATATATGCAGAACAGTTATCTGTAACTGTACAACTTACGATGGCATCGAGGCCCTTCCAATTCCTTCTTCTATGAAGTTATATCTGAAGGAATATCACTATAAATCAAAAGTTAGAGTACTCAGGATTGACGCACCAGAACAACAATGCTAGGATAAGATAAGGGAAGGGACGTGGCAATGATTGTATACATGTTTTCATTTAAGATTTTTTTATTATACCACTTTTAATTTTTCTACAAAGGCAGTGGAGTCTAAAATCTCTGCCCTAAATTTTACTTCAAGATCAGGTTTTATTTTGTTTTTTTTTTTATGATATACTGATTGTTTAAAGTTACACAGTAGAGATTAATAATTATTTTTAACCAGGTATTTGGTTTTTGTTTTTACGAAGGAGAATATATACTTAAACTTTTTATTTCTTTGATTTATGTATGACCTAGGCATATTTGAATTTTGGTAGATATTGCCAACGCATTTGAATATTCTGTGTTTCATACTTTTCTTTAAAAAATAATCTTATATCCTTTCTTACATGTAAAATATTTCGTTAATATATGCCGTCAGTATTTCTATATGTAAAATATCGTTTCCCATCCTCCTCCTTTTTGTTGTTTTAAATTCTTCAGTATAGCTGAGAGCTGTAATTCACCATCCATACTAATATAATTGACTTCTGTTAACTTGCTAGTAGGGAAGTCAAAGGTAACAAAATGGTTTAAAGTCAAACTTGATATGTTTCATGTGAAATATAACTATAAAGCAAGATGACTAAATTTGATTAATCTGGTCAGTGAGAATCACAAGAAAACACGACATTCTGGGGGTGCATTTATCCTTCTGTAATGTGGCAGAGTTAGTTTTCTTGAATACATCTTTCAACCTGGAAGAGTTACCATTTTCAGAACAAAAATTGTGTTCAATTCTCACTGGAAGCAGTAAGAACAAAGATAATACCATTAGTGGCTAGTAGTGACTAAAGCACTAAGGCAACTGTGGGTTTTTCTGTATTAACTTATGAGCTGTTGCTTCTATTTAGCCCTTTTTAGAAACTCAGAGCTTGTTACTTTGGGGGAAATTTCACAATTTTATAAGCAGCCAATTTCCACTGGTAACCAAAGAGTACCTAAGTCATTTTTCATTATTTTAAGTTGAATTTAAGTAAAGATCAAAGAAATAAACATGGAATTCAGTGTTCAGGAAATTCAATATTCTTTTTGATCTGCAATTTCTTTTTTTTTTTTTTTTTTTTTTTTGAGACAGAGCCTCAAGCTGTCCCCCTGGGTAGAGTGCCGTGGCATTACAGCTCACAGCAACCTCCAATTCCTGGGCTCAAGCGAGTCTCCTGCCTCCGCCTCCCAAGTAGCTGGGACCACAGGCGCCTGCCACAACGCCCAGCTATTTTTTGGTTGCAGCCGTCATTGTTGTTTTGGAGGTCCGGGCTGGGGATTTGAACCCGCCACCTTAGGTGTACGTGGCTGGCGCCTTAGCCGGTTGAACTATAGGCGCCGAGCCTTGATCTGCAATTTCTAAATAATTATTCCTGTCAGAATTAACTTGAGTCTTTGTTGTGGCTTCAAAAAATGGAAAAGCCTTTGATAGCTATAGGGCTTGTGCCATACAGCACAAGTACGGACAGAAGGGGTAATATTTTAAATTTGCTATCCCAAGAACAGGGCAGCGTTTTGAGACACATCATTAGCCCATTGTAACTAGTAAAGATAAATGGAATGGTATCCTATCTAACTTCTTTTTGAAAAGAATCATCGAATAGTAAATCTAGACATTGCTCAATTTCTTTTTTCTGGTGAATTGTCTACCCCTCTGTACAAATTGCCTTTTTTTTTCTTTGAGATAGTGTCTCACTAGAGTGCCATGGCATCAGCCTAGCTCACCGCAACCTCAAACTCCTGGGCTCAAGCAATCTTCCTGCCTCAGCCTCCCAAGTAGCTGTGGCATGCCTGGCCAATTCTTCTACCTTTAATAGAGAAAGGGGTCTTGCTCTTGCTCAGCCTGGTCTCAAACTCCTGAGCTCAAGCAATCCACCTGCCTCAGCCTCCCAGAGTGCTAGGATTACAGGCGTGAGCCACCACGCCCGGACCAAATGGACTTTTTTTTTTTTTTTTGAGACAGAGTCTTACTTTGTCACCCTCCATAGAATGCTATGGCATCATAGCTCACAGCAACATCCAACTCAAGTGATTCTCTTGCCTCAGCCTCCCAGTAGCTGGGACTACAGGCACATGCCACAACGCCTGGCTGTTTTTTTTTTTAGAGACAGAGTCTCGCTATTGCTAAGGCTGGTCTTAAACCTGTGAGCTGAGGGCAATCCACCTGCCTCAGCCTCCCGGAGTGCCAAACTGGCATTTTTAACATTAAAGTAATTGATGCTAGTTAGGATGCCCTAACCCTAACTGATGCTAGTTTAGCTGTATTCTACTTAGATTGAAAGAAATGTGACTCGTAAACTCCAAGTTAGAACAATTGTTTGTTACCATTGCTTTTGTGTGAAAGAGCATCTCCCTGACTTGCAGTTCTGCTGTAAAGCTGACATTTTTCAGTAATAACTTTAAAATAAATTTTTAGCAATTATTACAAAATTAAATCAGGAAAATCCCTGTTACCATTATCTTCTGACATTTTTTTTTCCTCAGTGATCTCAAGATTGTCTTGGTCTCAATGAGGGTTAGCCATGAAAACAGCACTGTTTCTAATAGTGGCGAGGCCACGGATATCACAATACCAACGTCAGGAGAAGGATTTCTCCTAAAAAGGACAGAGTATTTACGTTTTACAGAGGCAGAAGTGTCTCACACTACCTCATCTTTATTGTGGCACTTTTGTAGATCACTGAGCTTATTGACTTATAAAGCACTTCCTATATCCACATTTGGTGAAAGAAAATTAAATTGGTGTGGTAAGATTCTACCCATGATTATAGTTTTTTTATCAGAATTTGGTAAGACTTTCTGTTTCTGTGAAACAATTATTTTAAATATTTTTCCTTTAAAACTACTTTTTATCAATACAGAAAAACCTAATAGCTTATGAATATTCTGTTAAAGTGTAGTTTTATAAAGAAATAAAATATAATTGTGTTGTCTTTTATAGTAAAAAATAGTGTTTATATGAAAGTCAAGCTCTAAGTAGCTTTTAATATATTCAGACTAATTGCTTGAGATATATTTTCTCTGGCTTTTTTATTTTTTCAACTTCAAGGTTTTAACACCTGTTAACACTTTGAAAATACTGCCATGTGTAGCCTTGAAGTAGATGGTCTAACAAGTGAGAGCAGGAAGGAGACTCATTTACTCTGAAATGATGTGTACATTTCCTTTGGTGTTTGTTACAATGAAAAGAAACTTGGAAAGTAGAAATATAAAGATTTGAGAAGGGCCTTGTTTACCATGAAGGGAAAGAAGAGGAATAACTGTTTTCAAACATTAGGATTGGAAATAGGAAGGTTATCTCCTTTCTGTGTCTCTGTGAGGATATACTTGGAAGGACATACAGTATTCAGAAATTAACTCATAAAAATATATTTACTACACTGTAATTAAAAATGAGTAAATTTTGAGGGGACAGTGTGGGAGATACAAATGTATCTAAATACCATTTAAGTTTTGTAAGTCTTCAAGTTGGACTTTGGGAACATTTGAAAAGTGCAAATTCCAGAGTTGGGAAGGCATTCAGCATGGTGGAAATGTGTAGGGCTTATTGTTGAGAGAGGATAGAGTTAAAAGAAACCAGATAAAATATTAAAATTAAGAATTTAGACATTGCCACAGGGAAAAGCCTTGACAATGAAAGGGAACTACTTAATTGCTAAAAGCTAGTCTGGACCAGACACTTAACTGCACTTTGGGAATTATCCTGCACTAATCAGGAAATTTTCTAGTTTTCTCTAAAGCTTTTTAGGACATACCCCCTCTCCATTTTTTTTCAACCTATAGCATCTTGATTCATACTGTAATTTCTGAGATATGCTGACATTTCTTTTTTTGTTGTTCTTTGAGCATTTTTGTATGAAGAGTTATATGTGATCTTTCTATATAATCATGTCATTCACTTAAATAATTCATAGAGGGAATGGTTTGATTTAGGAAGACCTAATAGGAAGTAGATTAAAGGAAGCTTTTAGCCCGTGGCTGGATTATTGATGTGGTGACCAAACCTATGTTCTTTCCTGAGTTTCAGCTAATGGGCCACTGTGGTCAAAGAATGGCTTCCAGTTGAAATTTTGGTTTCTTAATTAGAAATAATATAAAGAATGTCTTAGTAATTAGAAATGTTTTAAAAAGTAGAACAAATGTGGCAAATAAGACTCACATCATTATACAAATTCCATTTCTTTTTATAAGAAAAACACATAAGCCATTATCATTTATTCATGAGTCAAAACCATTAAGAAGCTAGATCAAGTTATCAGCTTCCTGTCTCTGAAGTTTGGATCATTTTATAGATCCACATAATAGAAAGCTTCCTTCCTATGAAACAAAAAACCTTGAGATCTAACTCTTTATACATATACTCTTTTATTAAAAATATTTGTCATTTTAACTATTATCAGAACAATGAACAGCTTATATATTGATTTTGGTAGAATAAATTTCACAGGAAAGTAGACTTACATAATTATAAGACATTTTTGGAGACAATACAAACCAATGTCTAATGTAAAACAGTCTGTGTAATGTTAGGTAACTTAATGCCCAAATGAATAGGTTTTTAGTCAAGCAAATTATAGTTTCTACTTTAGGGAGAAATAATCTTTACAGTTCTTGTTTTAACAATCAGTTTTATTTATATTCACTTTTATTTCTAAGGAAAGAAAAAAAGTGTTTTTATTAACGGCCTCCTAGAAATGAGTAGTGCGGCAAGAATCCACCTCTACTAATCCAGTGCATTAAGAGACTGGACACAAAATGAAGGTAACTTTTTAAAATAGATTGGATTGTAAGTGGAAATGTAGATTAATGGCTATAACCCAATAGAAAGAGATTCAGAGTACATGAATCCTGTTTCAAATAAAGCCAAAGTCTAATTTACTTTCTAAATCATCCTTTGCCTTCATTTTCTATAAAATGTAGGTGTTAATACTTGTTGCCTGACTTCTGACGGTTAATTTCTTCCGTAAAAGGTGACCCTTGGAGCATACTTGAAAATAACTGCTGTATAGCGTTAAGTATTAATTTGTCTTCAAAATGTCTCCTCAGTGGACCCTGCATAATCACATTCATTTCCCTTAGTCTGTAATAAACTTTCTTGGCTTGATTTGACCATAGAGATAACAATGCAATTTGAATTTATGATTTAGATTGTGCAATTAGATGAACAATTGCAATTTCCTCCTACTTCATATGGTCTATGTAAAACTGATGTTTACCTAACTTATTTTTAAAATTGATTACATTTACAGGAAATAAAGATAATCACATTTACCATGTTTATAATCAAATCTAAGTTTTCAGACCTGAGAGCCATGGTGTAAAACTCAAGCAAGTTTACTCAAATTCTGCTGACTTTGCTAGAATTGGCTAATTTCTGCATCATAAGCCAAGAATAAAGTTGATAAGTACTTGACTATACATGGTTTGGTAACTTCACAAAGTTACTCTTGTTCAGGCCTGTCTGATCCATCCATAACCCCAAAAGTAGACTGTTATTTCTAATCATTAAGTTGAATGTTTCTTCTTGGATGTGAATTCAAATAAATCCAAATAAATTTTCATTTGTTCATAATTAAAGCTTCATGTATAAAATCCAAAGGCTTTGTGTCTTGTTTTAGAAACTTAAGTCCTTACCTCACACCTCCTTCACCTGTTCTCATTTATGATCCACTCCTTTTAGTTTCCAGCATGTGTCAGTTTTGGTCTTCTACAAGCAAATACCAAGATGTGCAAGAGATTTGGGGGCTCAACACCTAAGAAGGTTATCAGGGAAGGAGACAGGAGGTGGGGAAGTTATCTTGTCACCTTGTAAATCTGACAACCTGTAAAAAAAAAAAAAGGCTGGAAGGGATAATTGAGTAGAGCAGGCTACAGACTACAGTGTGGTTCTGGAAAAGGCCTAGACAGGGAGTTGTTGCCCCAGCAGCAGTTGTCCAAAGACAACCAGGAATGGCTGAGTCTAGACCCTCTGCAGGCAGGAGAAGCAGGAGGATAAATATCTCTGGTGTACAGGGCAGGACCAAGCTGCTCGGAGGGGAAATTTCATTAAAAGTCGAAAGATAATATTTTACATGCAAAATTCTAAGATCGCAGCTGATGCAAAAAACCTGATGAACAAGATAATCAAAATTGTAAATCCAGACCTGACTGGCTTCCGGCTGCCTAGGGCTTCAGTGTGGATCCACAGGGCACGGCTGATTCGTACCTCGGGAAAGGGCAAGGTAGAGCCTCTACACCAATACTGTACTTCTCCATAGACTTTTGCCCTTATCCAAAAATAACGTCTTCTCCCGACTTAGGTATTTGACGTTCCTTCATTGTCCCTTTTTCGTTATGAGAAATCACGTGCACTGTGAAACATCCCCAGGGATGTTTTCAAGAAGTTCCCTGTTAGGCCCGGCCTGTAATCCCAGCACTCTGGGAGGCAGAGGCGGTGGATTGCTGGAGCTGACGAGTCTTCAGACCAGCCTGAGCAAAAAGCGAGACCCCCTTTCTGCTAAAAATAGAAAAACTGAGGCAAGAGGATGATCGATTGAGCCCAGGAGTTTGAGGTTGCTGTGAGCTACTACCCCACAGCGCTCTACTAAGGGTGGCAAAGTGAGACTGTCTCCAAAAAAAATTCCTAGTTATATGTCCACCCACTGACCCTGAATGGCTTACAGCAGCCAAATTTAAGTGTGCTACATACTTTAAAGATATTTTTATATAAAAATGTATGTATATTTGTGCATACCATGTAATTATCATGACATTGTCACCACAAGGGAGGTTCGGGTCATTTCTGGAGTCCTAGCTGCTTGCGGGGGTGGGTCGAAGCAGGAGGATCCCCTGAGCCCAGGAGGTCCGGGCCAGCCTCTCAAAAAAGCAAACAATGCCGGAAATGAAAGCTCTCCTCCTTTGTGGGGGGGTGCAGAGAGGCAAAAAAAAAAAAAAAAGATAGTGAGGAGAAGTATGGATCAGGAAAAATCTACACAAGCAGCAAATACCAATTTGTCAAGCCACTGTAAAACGTTTTCCCCCTCCTGCCTTGATCTCGTCCCTCTGCCCAGTTTTGGCCCAGGAATCCGGGTTGGGCGGATTCTGCATCCACTCCGAGCCTGCTCCGAGGCCTGGCGAGAAAAGCCACTGAGCCTCAGGAATCCGGAATCCGGAATCAAACCACCAAGGCCGCAAGGCTGCCCGGACCACTGCGGGCCCCAGGCGCGTCTCAGCCCCACGAAACCCCCTACCGCCGGGAGCTCGCGCCCGCCAGGCAGTTGCGCTGGGCGCCTGCGGGGGGCGCGCGCCGCACCTGGGAGCGAGCGCCGGCTGGGCAGTTCCGCCGGGCGCCTGCGGGGGGCGCGCGCCCGGACCCGGGAGCGAGCGCGGGCGGGGGCGGGGGCGGCGCACGCGGCGCTTCCTGTTCCGGCGCCAGGAGGAGCCGCGCGCTACTACCGCCGCCACCGTCCGCCTGTGCCCAGTCGCTCGGACCCATCGCCACCTCCGGACGCTGCTGCGGGCTTGGATCTCGCCCGGTAAGGCGCCTTCGGTGCCAGTGGAGATCGTGGACCGGATCAGGGCCTGGGCCGGCGGGGCTGGAGGGTGCGGCCGAGCGAGAGGCGGGCGCGGATACGGGGCTGGCTCGGGTCACCTCCAGCGCTTAGGTCTTGGTCGCCTCCCGGGGCCCTGGGCCGAGCGGCCCTCCCGGCCGCCCTCCGTGCGGACGGGCGCCTCCCGATCGCCCCCCAAGGGAGAAGGCGTCTGGGGCTGCTGACGTCGCGCCCGACGGGGCTCTCGGCGCGTGACGTCAGGCCCGGCCGGGGGCGGGGCGGGCAGGGCCGGTCCCTCCCCCACTCCTTCCCGGGCGGCGCGACCCGTTTGGTGGCGGGTTCTCCGGTTGATCCGGTCCGCCTTTGTTCATGAGTCGGTGCGCCGGGTCCCGCTGTTGCGCCCCGTGGCCCTGACTCCCCTGGTTACACCCATTCATTATTTTTAATGAAGTGGAAAAGAACCGAAATGCTTACAGGAATCCCTGTCGCTTGTTTAAAGTAACCTTCAGTGTGACAGGTGTTCTGTTTGCTGCTTAGTAGAGGAATTGCTCACAGATGCATCAGGTCAATCCTCGGGACACACTAGAGAAGTGCTGAGTTTTGTGATGGGCTTATTTTAGGATTTAGGAGCACGAGCATGATAGCCTGTGAATAGCCGGACCGGTTTTCCTCTTTACCTTGAAAACCAAGAGTCCTGCTTTAATAAAGATTCTAGTGTTGAAGCATCAAACCAGACTCGACCGAAAAGAAATTTTTTTAGCATACTGCTGAAAAAATTTTTTTTAAATTTTTTGTGGCAACATAACCACCTGGTGGTTGTAAAAGCCTGTTTTGAAAGAGAACACTTTTTACAGGCAAAAGTCCTTCAGAAATATCTCAGAAGTTCTTTGTTCACTAGTGTGCTTTGGGCAGAATTAGAAATTTTTACTGCTGCTGGTGTCTCAGAGCCCCACTATCCAAAGTGAGTTTGTTTCAGAAACCTTAGGGTTGAGTTACAAGTATTGGAATGTTCTTTTCTTCTCTCCAGAAGGAATGGGTAATCATCTTCCCCTGTCTCTAAACAGAAATCCTTGTAGCCAGTGTGTTTTGGAATTCATAAATATTTGCATTTCATTTTTATATTATAGAAGGAAATATGTAGATAGGAGATAGCACTCCCCTCCCGCAGACTCAGGGCACCCACTAAATCCACATTAATAGTTGTTCTAAGTGGAAGTTAACAGAAACTATAAATAGCTTTAGGTCAGATTTTGCAACCAAATCAGTTTGATGCCAAACTTGGAAGTTTCTTTCATTGTCATAGGTTTCCAGATTAAGAATGGTAGATAAGGCTCGGCGCCTATAGCTCAACCGGCTAAGGCGCCAGCCACGTACACCTAAGGTGGCGGGTTCGAATCCCCAGCCCGGACCCGCCAAAACAACAATGATGGCTGCAACCAAAAAAAATAGCCGGGCGTTGTGGCGGACGCCTGTGGTCCCAGCTACTTGGGAGGCGGAGGCAGGAGACTCGCTTAAGCCCAGGAGTTGGAGGTTGCTGTGAGCTGTAATGCCACGGCACTCTATCCAGGGGGACAGCTTGAGGCTCTGTCTCAAAAAAAAAAAAAAAGAATGGTAGATAAAATGCTACAATTAATAGTAATTGTAAAAGCTAGCCTAAGCTGAGTTTTTGCTATATGCCAGGCAGTGACAAGGATTAGGTTTTTATGTAAGTCTCGCAGCAAATCTGTGAGGTGGATATTGTTCCCCTCTTCCTTGTCCTTCCAGAATTAAACCAGCCAGTGAGGACCTTAGGGCGTTCACTCTTTTAACTACACCTATGTACTGTATGTCCATATACCAAGGAAGGCCAGAGAAGTTTCCCACCCAAACGCTATCTTAGGCACCTGATTGGACAGAGCTCCATTTAGTTGAAGAAACTGAGGTCCATTCAGGTAAGCTTACTACCGAGTTAAATGATTCAAACCCTACCTTCCTTTGCCTTATAGGCGTACCATCCTATCTGAGTCTCCCAGCTTTTACCCTAACTGCTCTTTTTCCCTGGGGTATGTCCCACAAGCTTTCTTCTTACTGTTTCTTCTAGACGGCAAAGACACTGATTCTCAGGAATTTTTTTCCTATAATTCCATGAAGACCAATACAGTGCCAGGCAGGTGTGTTTATAAGTATGTGAATAAATGTAAAAAACAGTGCAAGTTGAGCACCCCTTATCTGACATGCTTGGAACCAGGATTGTTTAGAATTTTAGATTTTTTGGGATTTTGAAATATCTGATTTTTTTGTGTTTGTTTTTAAGACTCTGTCACCTTTGGTAGAATGCTGTGGCATCATAACTCTCAGCAACCTCAAACTCTTGGGCTCAAGTGATCCTCTTGCCCCAGCTTCCCGAGTAGCTGGGACTATAGGAGTCTACCATGACACCCGGCTAATTTTCTATTTTTAGTAGAGACAGGGTCTCAACCTTGCTGAGGCTGGTCCTGAGCTCAGGCAGTCCACCCACCTCAGCCTCGAAGAGTACTAGGATTACAGGTGTTAGCCACTGCATCCAGCTGGATTTTGGAACGTTTGCATTGTACAGTTGAGCATCCAAAATCCTAAATGCTCCAATGAGCATATCCTTTGAGCATCATGCCAAAGGAAAAAAAAACACAAAAAGTTACAGATTTTGGAGCATTTTGAATTTTCAGATTGGTATGCTCAACCTGTACTGGAAATTTTAAGTGTTTAAAAACTCAAAATCTCAATTTTTGAGTCACGCAAATGAAAAATGGAACTTAACCAGATGAATGAGCCAAATACTAAAAACCAGAATGTATTCTAATTCAGAATTTATGTTTGCAGTGCAGTACATACCATCATCTTCCCCTAACCCTTACTAAATGCAAAATCCTTTCCCTTAGTTTCTCTAAATAAACGTCTTAACATTTGCACCACACTTCATAAATAATATTAAGAGTGCTACTTTTAATTATCTGTAAGGCAGCCAGGAATTATAGCAGTTCTACAGATAGGGAAATGTTAAGAAGTTTGCCTTTGTCAAAATGATTGATGTCTAGCTTTGATAACTGTGAAGTCCCATGTTTATCAAGTCACAATTTGATGGCCCTCTGAATACTGCTTGTCAGTAGTCACTAGTAATCTATAGAGTCAACTTTCTTAAAGCTCATGATTGGGACAATTTACTCTAAAGGCCGTAAGAATTACTAAAACGTTTTGCTTTTCTAGTGTATGTCAAAGGATACGTCCTATTTTAAAATTACTACTCTTGTTGCACAGAATATAACTAATTATTTTTCACATGCTGGGTAAACTGTTCCATAAACTGGTAATAGCTTTACATTATTCTAAAAAGAAAGAAAACTTTTCTTGATTTTAGTGAACTCTATTGACCAGTTCAAGGTTACGTTGGCCTTGTCTTAATACTTTGCAGTTACTCAGATGTTTTGGAATAACGTTTTGAGAAATCTAGACTTTTTACATTCTGCACCTCTCCTCATGTTGAAAACTGATGTCCAACTCTATTTTTTACCTTCCAAGGGCTGGGCGCAGTGGCTCACACCTGTAATCACAGCACTCTGGGAGGCCGAGGCAGGTGGATTGCTTGAGCTCGAGACTAGCCTGAGCAAGAGCAAGACCCTGTCTGTAAAAATACCTGGGTGTTGTCATGGGCACCTATAGTCCCAGTTACTTGGAAGGCTGAGGCAAGAAAATCATTTAAGCCCAAGAGTTTGAGGTAACTGTGAGCTATGATGCCATGGCACTGTACCCCAGAGTGACCAAGTGAGACTCTATTTCCAAAAAAAAAAAAAAAAAAGGAACATGTCCCCCAGTGAGCCAATTGGAATGCTTCACCATCCCAGGGGGACAAATTATAAGACCCCCTCAAAGGATGCTTGAACCGGCAGACAGCACTGAACTTTACAAATACTAGGTTTTTTTGATCTGATAACCCAGGTGCCTGCTAAGTAACTAACAGGCTGATAATGGTACACGCAGCATGGGTACACTGGATAGAGGGGTGATTATCATCACAGGATTCATTGTGCTGCCCAGGAGGGTACTCAAACCATTTGAAACGTATGAATTGTTTCTTGCTGGAATTTCCATTTAATATTTTTGGACCACACATAACTGAAATTGACAGTAAGAAGGGACTGTTGTAACATGAACGCTATTCTAGGCACAGAGAGCAGGTCCATTTACTAAGTACTGTCACCGCTCTCCTTCCCGCCTCAGCCTCCCGACTAGAGTGGCTGGGATTACAGGTATATGCCGTGCCAGCTAATTTTTCTGTTTTTATAGAGATGGGTCTTTCTTTGTTGTCAAGTTCCTTAACCTTAGGTGATTCTCCTGCTTCAGCCTCCTGGAGTGCTGCTAGGATTATAGCTGTGAACCACCAAGCCCAGTCTCTGTTTCTAATTCCTTTGGTCAGACCTTAGCTATTCAATCATAAGATTCTAGCACCTCCTCTGTCTTCCAGACTTTGATTTTTTTTTTTTTTTTTTTTTGAGACAGTGCCTCAAGCTGTCGCCCTGGGTGGAGTACTATGGCATCACGGCTCACAGCAACCTCCAGCTCCTGGGCTTAAGCAAGTCTCCTGCTTCCACCTCCCAAGTGCTGGGACTACAGGCGCGCAACACAACGCCCAGCTACTTTTTGGTTGCAGCCATCGTTGTTTGGCGGGCTCGGGCTGGATTCGAACCTGGTGCCTTAACAGGCGCCGAGCCCAGACTTGATTTTTAACTTAAAAATGTTTAAGCCGGCTCGGCGCCTATAGCTCAACCGGCTAAGGCGCCAGCCAC